GGCAGAAGTGGAGGAGGGAGGGCATTCCAGGCTTGGGGCACAGCCTGTGCAAAGGCCTGGAGACTGGAATGGCGTGTCACATGTGATGACCAGCCAGAATGCCGGTTTGGTAGAACCTGCGAGAGCAGCGTCGGGAGCATTCAGGCCCAGAGTGAGCTGTGGCTGCCGATGGCTTCAGCAGCAACCAAAGAGGGCCTTTAACGGCTATGTTATGTATGGCCTGTGCCGGATTACACACTGTCCTGGGGAGGGGGGAAGGGAAGGAGGGGGAGAAAATTCAAAACTCAATATCTTACAGAAGTGGATGTCAAAAACAAATATTTAAAAAAGATAAGAAGTGATGTTGTGTGTAGTGGTCATCTTATGGCTTGCCTCCTCAGTGGGTGGAGGAGGGGGAGAATTTTTCAGTTCCCTTTCAGTAGTGTTCGACTCTTTGTGATACCTTTTGGGGTTTTCTTGGCAGAGATGCTGGAGCGGTTTGCTGTTTCCTTCGCCAGCTCAGTTTACGGACGAGGACGCTGAGTGAAGTGACTTGCTCAAGGTCACACAGCTGGATTTGAACTCAGGAAGGGGAGTCTTCCTGACTCCAGGCCCAGCGCTCTATGCACTATGACATCACTTAGCTGCCCCAGAAAGAGAATTTTTATCAAAATTTTATCAAAATTTTAAAAAATGAATGTTAAAAAATAAACATTAAAAAAAAAGAAATAAAAAAATAAAGACTATGTTAGAGACAACAGGAAGGGTAAAGATGGGGTAGGACCCTTCACTGCTCGGAGTAGGTGGAGGGATGGTGAAGGGTGAAGGGGAGAAGACAGGACTACTCAACTCTTTACTTAGGCTTTTTCCTACCAAGAAGGATGATCCTTGGACTGGGAAGGAGTGCTGAAAGGTGGGGGGCCAAACCCCCAGATAATTGGGAAAGTAGCAAAAAGGCAAGCACCTAGTCAAAGAGCTGAATTCAAATCCTACCTCAGTCGCTCATCCAGTAAGGTTCAACTGAGTTAATAGATGGAAAGCATTCTGTCAGCCCGTAAGCGCCGTACCACCAGCGTGGCTGGCCAGCACAATGCCTCACACACGGCAGGCCTTTCAGTACTTACTGAATTTACTTTTCAAAGACCACATCCCAATTTTTTTCAGAATTTCATGCAGACCTGGTTGCTTTAACATATTAAAAATAGCAGAATGATAACTGGCGTTTATATAGCACCTACTATGTTCCAGGCACTGTGCTGAGCGCTACATAAATATCTCATTTGATCTTCACAATAATAACCCTGTGAGGCAGGTGCTGTTATCATATACCTGATTTTACAAATCAGGAAATTGAGGCAGGCAGTGACTTAGTGGCTCTCCCAGGATTCCACAGCTGGCATATGTTGGGAGGAAGGGTCAGGATTTGAACACAGGCCTCTTCTGACTCCAAGTTCAGTTCCATTACACAACATTGGCTTGGGAAATGAGCAAATGCCCCACTCTTCAAAAAAGGGAACTGGGTGGGGTCCTTTGAACCCTCAACCCGTGAGCATGACAATGAAGAGTAAGAACCCTTTGGTAAAGAGATGTTTCTGTGAGTATTTAGAAAGACTGGTGGGGATCACAGAGATGCAGCTTGGCTTTATGAGGAGCAGGTCACGCCAGATTGCTCTGGTTCATTTTTGGGCAGTTCCCAGGGGGCTGATTTCCTCTTTCTCACTTTCACACACTTTCTGTTCCAGCCAGTGCTACTTACTTGCTAATTCCTAAACTCCCTGGTACATCTTTGTACAGGTAAGAGGACCCCAGTGCCTCTTAGAATTGTTAGTTTCAGGCCTGCTAGGTAGTGCAGTGGATGGAGCACTGGCCCCGGTGTCAGGAGGACCTGAGTTCAAATCCGGCCTCAGACATTTACTAACCGTGTGACCCTGGGCAAGTCACCTAACCCCGATCGCCTTGTGAAAAAAAAATAATTCTTAGTTTCCTTGAAGGCTCAGCCGTGTCTGCCAGTCATGAATATTCTTTGCCTCCTCCAGTTACCTTTTATATACTTTTCTGCCTTTTGAAGTATGTTGTATGTAAGCTTCTTGAGGACAGGGATTGTTTCTTATCTTGTATTGTATCCCCAGGGCCTGGCACCTTTGGTAGTCTCTCATCAGTGTTGGTTGAGTTGAATCCAGCTGAATGGATATAGACAATGTACCTCAACCTGGCAGGGTTTTATGTGACTTTTTTTTCTTTTTTTGAGGCAGTTGGGGTTAAGTGACTTACCTAGGGTCACACAGCCAGTGTCAAGTATCTGAGGCCAGATTTGAACTCAGGTCCTCTTGACTCCAGGGCCGGTGCTCTATCCACTGCGCCACCTAGCTGCCCCTTATGTGTTATTCTTGTTGATGAGGTGGGGAGGTGTGTGCTAAACAGTGGTCCAGTCTGGTGGAGGGATCAGAGCCAAAGAGAGACCCTTAATGGCACTTTGGAAGGAGAGGGGCAGCAAGCATTTATTAAGTGACCACTGTGTGGGCACTTTACAAAGGTTATCTCATCCAGTCCTGGGAGGTAGGTGCTGTTAGTATTTTCATTTTACAGATGGGGAAACTGAGGCAAACAGGTTCGCTGACTTGTGCCAATGAGTGTCTATGGCTGAATTTGAACTCAGGTCTTCCTGACTCCAGGTCTGTTGCTCTATCCACTGTGACATTCAGTTTTTGTGTCCAGAGCACCCCGGAAGAATTGATACATTCACTTCTGCTATCATCCTTATTTTGAAAATGTGGATTTCTTCCAGTGTGATTGGTACATTAGGGACCAGTTTGAGCGTAATGTCCATTTTTAGTTAGCCTTTGTGTAATTTTGTTATTGTTGTTTGTCCTTCATTCCCAAAGAGGACCATGGCATGAGGGAGGTGATGCCGTAACTTGCAAGTGAAGTGGATTTAAGTGAGGCAGGGCTGTGCAGAGTCACCAGCCTCACTGTCTCCTCCTGTGCCATCTGGATCCAGTGGCCAGATATGGATCAGGATGACTAGAGATGGCCCAGGATGCAGTAGGAGAGCTTGGTCTTTTTAAGCTAAGGTCTTTAATAAGTCTCAGTTTGACTGAGGCAACACCCATGCAGTGATTAAGGCTAGGTAAGAAATGAGGCAGAGAATGACTAGGTACATTTTGTTCATGACAGACAGCTAGAATGCAGAAGACTGTTGCAGTTTACAGTAACTCCCAAGCTACAGCCCTTCCCACATCCCCATCCACAAGCAAACTTCAGGACTTTTTCAAGCAAAAGGGCCATATTTAGTGTCTGTGTTCTGGGGCAGCAGGAGCTGTGGGTGGGGGAGGGCTGGCATCCTGACCCCCTTCTGCTTGTGGCCTCTGACCCCTGGGACCTGGGACAGGCCACTATCTATTGGCGCATTTATGTATTTAACATCTATAAAAGATGTGCTATTGTTTTTATTAGGTTCTTGTCTTTTTATTTGTGTGCCCCTGACAAAGTTTTTGACCGTTGTGCTCCAAACTCCATTTTCCTCATATGCCTTGTGATATTTGTTGTGTCATTCTGCATAGTATGCTGCTTTTTGGGAAAGCGGATGTCGAGTTATACAGTAGGACTAACTGTACTCAGTCCTATGCTATTTAACTTTTTTTTTCTTTCAGTAACCAGGTTGAATATGTTTATCCAATTAGTGGAAGACAAAGAACTGGAAGGGCGAGTTGAGGCCTTAAATGGCAGATTTGGGATCTGGGCAGATCTCGGTGAGCTAGAATCCATGAAGACAAAATGTCATAGGGAGAGATGTCAAGTTCTGTGCTTGAGTTTAACGATTTATCTGCCCAAGTATAGCTTAGGGTGACATTAGGAGGTATGAAAAAAAAAAAAAACAACCTGAGGTTTTAGCAGCCTGCACGTCACCTCCGTTTGCCTTGATCCACTGGAGAGGCAAATGACAAACCACTCTGAGATCTTTGCCAGGAAAACCCCATGGACGTGTGTTGGCGTGCTAGGCCCACGGGGTCACGACTGAACAGGAAGTGAAATATGTCAGCAGTAAAACACAATAGCCTGAAATGCCTAGGCCGGATTCCACTGTCTTAAGTGGTTTAAGAGGGCATTAGCGTTCACAAGGAGGGAGGGCCTCACAGTCCTCTGCCCTCGCAAGACCTCCTCTGGAGTTTTATCTTCAGGCCTGGGCGTCGGATTTTGAGAGGGTCATTGACCTTTGAGGAGAGTCTGGGCTTCAGAGGGGTCCTGCTGGACCACTGTGCTCACTCTTGGCATTGAAGCGACCTCCTTCCTTCCACTGATACCTTCATCCCTTCTTTATGGAGAAGGGTAGCTGCTAGCCAGATGTCACTTAAGGAAGGTGCCAAGTCAGCAAGCATTTATTGAGCACCTACTGTGTGACCTGGCCTTGTAGTTACTCTGTCTTAAGGGACCACCTCAGAAAACCTTTTTGTGTCCTACCCACCTTTCTAGGAGACTTCCCCAAGGATTTTGCCAAAGTCTTTAGAGGAAAATATTATTTCTTAATGTTTTCAGTTTTACTCTAGGGAGGTTTTAAATAGGTGCATACAGTATTGAGGCCCATCTCTAGCTGTCCTGATCTATATCTGGAGCCATTGGACCCAGATGGCTCTGGAGGAGAAAGTGAGGCTGGTGACTTTGCACAGCCCTCCCTCACTTAAATCCAATTCACTTGCAAGTCATGGCATCACCTTCCTGAGGTCATGGTCCCGTTCTAGAATGGAGGACGAAAAAGAACAACAACAATATTGAACATCTACTTACGAGAAATTCAATCTCCCCAGACTTTTTTTTAATAGAAAGATGTTGCTGATGTGTGGGATTCCCATTGCACAGATTGACAAGCAATCCTGTGGCAAGCCAAGGACGTGGCACTTTCCCTCGCTGGGGAAGGGCTTGGGAGGTGCTAGTTTGCTACTAGTCCCAGGGGTGGCCTGGTGACTCAGAGAGGGCCCTTAAGTCCCTCTTGCCGACCTCAGGCTATGCCCCTCTCTCCATGCCAGGTGGGCCTTCTTGGATCTGGCTACCAATGAGCAGTACAGTGATGCCCTGCAGGCGTATGCAGCTGGGGTGGTGGAGGCAGCTGTGTCCGCTGAGGTAAGAGGAAGGGGCGATGGTGGTACAGCTCCCCTTCTTTTCCCTGGGGGAGATCACCTTTGTAACCTCAAAATCAGGACCATGCCCTTGACCTTGCCCACATGAAAGGATCAATTCAGAGCTTCTCCCAGGCACCAGCATCTCTGCCTTAGGACCGTCAGAATCCTGGGTGGGTGAAAAAGAGGTAAGGGAAGTGCTGACTGTCAGAGGACAGGGCTGGAGATTGCTCATGGATGTGCTCATAAGCGGGAGGGGTCCTAAGATCGTAGATTTAGAGCTGGAAGGGACCTTAAGGGGTCATCTGGTCCAACTCCCCCATTTTACAGATGTGGAAACTGAGGCACAGAGCGGAAAAAGTGACTTATCGAAGGTCACACTGCTGCTAGTGAGTGAGCCAGGATTTGAACCTGACTTCAGGTCACTCAACAAACATTTTTAAGCTATTACTATATGTCAGAAACTATGCTAAATGTTGGACGTATAAATACAAGCAAAGGAAGAAAGAAAGAAAGAAAGACAGTCCCTGCCCTCAGGAGCTTACATTCTAATGGGAGAAGACACCACTGGGAGTTGAAAAGCAGAGGGGTCGAGGAAGGTACCTGTGATGAAGCTCAGAAAGTCTGAATCTGAGCCAGGAGGGGAAGGAAGGAAGGAAGGAAGGAAGGTGCCTTAAGTGTGAGACTATCTACTGTAAACCATTCAGGAGCTACTTGGAGGTCACCCTGGCCTGGCTGCAGAAGCTGACAGTGTCTGGCAGCCACCGGTAGCAGGTGGGCGTGGCTGGAGCATCCTGGGTGGGGGTGGGGGGCCCTGCCCTGCTGGGTCATTGACTTCCCCGTCGGGTCACCTGCCCTTCCATTCTCTGCCCCAAAATAGATGTGTTGGGAGGAACTCACCAAAGAGAGAAGGGGGCCCCAAAGGAGGCGTGTTCCAGGGGGAGAGCTCATGTCCCTTGTGGTCACCCTGGTGTAGGATTAGCTGCTGATCAAATGAATGAAATGAGGGATAAATCATTTATTAAGCCCTTATTGTGTGCAAAGCACCGTGGATGCTGATAGGAAAGTAAGACCATCCCTGCCCTCAAAGAGCTCACCTTCTAATAGTCATGGCAGCAAGCATTTATTAACTCCTACTGTGTGCCAGGCACCATGCTAAGCTCTGGGGATGCAAAGGGAGGGTAAGGACCTTCCCTGCTCTCGAGCTCACAGTCTGATGGTGATATCAGCAAGCATTTATTAACCTCCTCCTGTATTCCAGGCACTGTGCTAAGCTCTGGGGATGCAAAGAGAGGGTTAAGACCTTCCCTGCTCTTGAGCTCATAGTCTGATGGTGACATCGGCAAGCATTTATTAAGCTCCTACTATATTCCAGGCACCATGTTAAGCTCTGGGAATACAAAGAGAGGGTAAAAATAATCTCTGCTGTTGAGCTCACAGTCTCATGGTGATATCAGCAAACATTTATTAAGCTCCTACTGTATGCCAGGCATAATGCTCAGCTCTGGGAATACAAAGAGAGGGTAAAGACCTTCCCTGCTCTTGAGCTCACAGTCTGATGGTGACATCAGCAAGCATTTTTTAAGCTTCTACTGTGTTCCAGGCACCATGCTAAGCTCTGGGAATACGAAGAGAGGGTAAAGATAATCCCTGCTCTTGAGCTCACAGTCTAATGGGGGAGACAGCTGTGCAAAGAGCTATGGACAGTACAGATGGGAGATGGTGGGCAGAGGGAAAGCCTCATTGTTAAGGGGGATTGGGAAAGGCTTCACAGGCCAAATAAAGGAGGCTGCTTTTGGCATAAGGGAGGATGGAATGGAGGGCCTTGGAGCCTTGCTTGGGATTTTGGTAATGGGAGGACAGACTGAATAAAGGCAGTGATGCCATTGGCCTTCTGGGGTGAGGGAAGGTGGGGAGGTGGGGTGGGCAGGTAGGCGGCAGCCCCTGGATCCTGGCTCTTCCCATGAGTCTCACCTTCTGTCCCCTCCCCATACACAGCTCATCTATATGCACTGGATGAACACAGTGGTGGATTACTGTGGCCCCTTCAAGTATGAGACTGTCTACTGCGAGAAACTGAAGACCTATATCGAGCTGAACCTGGCTTGGATGCAGAAGCAGATCGCGTCCGGCCAGGACGTCGAGTACTGGCACCAGGTGGGTGTGGCGGGAGGGGGGAAGGGCCTTTCTTTGCCTGGCCATTGATGTCCCTCTGGTCACCCGCAGTCCCCTCCCATTGCAGTCGTGTGTCGGCCTGTCCATGCTGTCCAGTAATCATTTAAAGGCCCCAAACACAGAGGTCCTTGGGGACCATGGGGTCTGTGGAGAGAGTGCTGGGTTTGGACACAGAAGATCTGCTAGAACCCTGGCGGTGACACTGAGCTCTCTATGTGACCTTGGGCATCTGTAAAATCGGGGGGTTGGGATCCGTCCGTGGACTCTGAGGTCCCTTCCAGCTCTCTGTGACCCTGGGACCCCTCTGAGCCGCAGCTTCCTCATCTGTAAATTGAAGTCATTGGATTCTGAGGTCCCTACCGGCCCTACATCTAAGGTCTCATAACCATTGGTCCTTGGTTTCCTCATCTGTAAAATTGAAGAGGTTACACTAGATGACCAGCGAGGTCTCTTTCAGCCCTGAATCTGTGATCCTGTGACCTGCCTAAGCCTCAGTGTCCTCATCTGTAAAATGAAAGGACATAGGATCACAGACTTGGGCCTGGAAGGGACGTTGGAAGCCATTGCGTCTTAACCGCCCAGAAAATGAGGCCACGAGAGGCCGAAGGCCCTGCTTGAGGACACAGGGGTCTGGAATGATCTGTAGGTGTGTCCTGAGTACCTACCCTTAATCTAGGCTTTACTAAACACTATTAGCAAGCCATTACTAAGTGCCTACGTTGATCTGTGGGGGTACCCATGGATCTATACAGGGGATCCAGGTGTACTTACCTTGTACTAAACCTTCATTTTATTCTTTTTTTTCCTTATATAAATGAAGTGAATAAGTCCTAGAGAGAGAAGGGGACTGGCCTGAGTTCATTTAGCATGATTATGATCATGCTTCAGGCAGGGACATTTGAGGACTGGCACCAGGTGGGCATGGCTGGGTGAGCCTCTCTGCAGGGCCCTGAGCAAGGGGGGGGCCCTACACTGCCCTTTGAGAGAGGTCTTCCAAGTCCCAGACTAGACTCTTCCTACCACATCATGTGATTGCATTTTCCTGAAGGCTGGGTCAGACCACTCCATTGACCATATGTCTGTCTGTCTTTCTGGTAGGTGGAGCTCGCTCTCCTGCAGCTGAAGGGACTGGAGGACAGCTACCAGGGACGCATAGCTTTCCCATCTAAGAATTTCACCATCAGCGCCTTTGGATTCCTGTAAGTGACCCTCTTGGGTATGGAGGAGTTGGGCAGGTAGAGAGAGAGTAACCTCTATTTGAAGCAAGAACTCGGAGAATGAACTTTGCTCATAGAAACTGACGTCTCTGCCTCAAGACCAGTTTCTGGCAAAATTGAGAAATAGGTAGACTTTCTGCCTCTTCGTTCTGCCTCTCCCTTCTTCCTCCCCCCTGCCTTCAGTACCTTCTCTCCTTCCAGATTGCTGTTTGTCTCTGTTTTGGCCAGAATCTCCGAGGGTCTTCCCTTCTCAGACAGATTTTTTCTTTTTTGGACTAGGTAAAAGAGGCCATTTTTTTGCCTCATTTCTCACTAGCCTTAATCACTGAATGGGTGTTGCCTCAGACAAACTGAGACCTGGCAAAGACTTTAGCTTAAAAATGCCAAGATCTCCCATTGTATCCGGGGACATCTCCAGTCATCCTGATCTGTATCTGGCCACCGGACCCAGTTGGCTCCGGAGGAGAAAGCGAGGCTGGTGGCTTTGCACAGCCCTGCCTCACTTAAATCCAGTTCACTTGCAGGTCATGGCATCACCTCCCTGATGTCAAGACCCTCTTTGAGAACAAAGGACAAACAATGACAATCCTTCCAAACACCCAGTGTTTGTAATCCATTGTGTTTAATGCTTTATAGTCTATGAAAGAGCCTTTTGCAGACATGAGCTCATCTGATCAGCCTCCTTCTTCTGAGGTAGGCCAGCCAAGAATTGTGCTGCGGAGAAAACCAGAGAGAGCGAAAGGGATTCAGCCGAGGCCCCACAGAGTGGAAAGGGACAGGACCCAGAGTGAGAACTCAGGGTTCCTCACCCCCTAGTCCCAGGCTCTGTCCTATTGTCCCACTGCTACAGGCCTTTGGGAAGAAATCATAGCACATGCCCAGAAGGGGTAAGGAAGTGATCAGTGGGCCAAACTGTCACGGCAAACAGGAAGGAAAGTAAAGGTTGGCCTCAAAAAGAGAAATCTCTTTTTCTTTTGAAGACTGGAGCAAGAGGAAAGGCTGGGTGAAGACGGAGAGGGTGCTTGAGGTGTGGAGTAGGAGAAATGAGTGGTTTCCATTACCTCAACAAAGTAGAAAGTGAAGCCTTCTGCCGGTCTGGAGGACAAGGGGAAAGAGGGATTCTGGAGGTTTGAGGAGAGAGCAGGAGTTCTGGCACAATGGCTCTGTGGGTATCACTCTCAAACAGACAAGAATAAAAGGATTGTCGTAAAGCAATGGGGGCTCAGTTGAGTTTAGATGGCATGAATTTGTAGTAGATCTAATCGGTGTCTTCTGGGAGTGTTCAGACACATAGGAGTGGAGAGGGTGGACGATGGTGGTAAACCTGTGGTTGGGTTTTGGGACGGCATAAGCGTTGATAGGACAAGGGGGTTGAGGGGTTCAAGATTCCAGGACGATGCAGAGTTGACCTAGTCAGCTAGAACGTGAGGCCAGTTCAGGGGTCAGATCTGGGAGTATAAGGAGGGGATGGAGGGACAGACTGACGGTCAGGGTAAGGAGGGTTAGGAGAAGAGGGAGCAGCCAGGGGACCAAACATGAGGCTCAGAAGGTGTGATTTGAGAGGTCAGATAATGGAAGTGATGACGAGGTCTAAGGTTTGACCATTCCTGTGGGCAGCTGAAGCGGAGGGAGGGACCCAGAGGGAGCTCGAGCGTTTCAGGGGACACCAGGATGGACTTTGGATGCCCTGAGTGCGAGGACCAAGGTTCTGGGGTAGAGAAAAGCTATGGGTCATGTTGCAGAACTCTGAGAAATAAGAGAGCCTAAGCTTAGCCATTAGAAGGTTCTAGTGATCCAAGCGTAGGGAAGAAGTGGTTAATGAGTGAGTGAGGCGGGGAGAGCGCTTGGATGTAGCGGAGAGAGCAGAGCGTGCCCCGTCCTCTCCCTCGCCCAGTGGGGTCGTCGATGCCTGGTGAGTGGGGCTCGAGAGGCCTCCTGCATCTCTGCATCATCCTAAGATGGCAGAGAGCAGCACTCATCCGTAGGTAACTCGCGGTTGCCTCGTGAGCTGGGGTCTCGCTCGGGCCCGGTTTCCAGAGAATTCGATGGTGGCTCGGTGGGTACGGATGCCCCAGGCACTGGTTACTGCCTCTGCCCGGAGTGGGGTGAGGAGGCCTCCCAAACCTGCCAGTCTGCATCACCTCGGCCTCTTGGAATCTCTCCATTCCTTCATAGCCCGGCTCAGGGCCAACTTCTCGCAGGTTTTCACAGGTTTTTGCACGTTGCATTCCTTCTCAGGAATGGAGGCCTGGAGGCAGGAGCTGTTTTTCGTTTTGGGGTTTGTACCTCCAGGGCCTAGCGCACAGTAGGTGACTTCATGAATGAGTGAATGAGCCTTTATTAAGCAGCTGCTCTGTGCCCAGCATCGTGTTAAGCGCTCAGGACCCAGATAGGAAAGGAAGATGTCTCCTCTTCTCCAGGTGCTCACTGTTGTGATAGAAGGACAGAGTAGATGTTAGGAGTTTAATGCTTGCTGAGTTGAATCAGGGTGCACCCTGTCCCCAGTTGGGCGGTTGGGGCTCTGCTTCCAAGCCTCCCTAAGGGCCCTGCTACCCTAATTTATACTAGGGTGTCAGTGGCCGCCTCCTCCTTACCCAGGAGACTGAGACCCCGGCCACACCCCCTCCCTCAGCTTGTTCCAGCTGTCGGGTGATTTGGAGGACCTGGAACCCGCCCTGAACAAGACGCAGCAGAGGCGGGTCATGGGCTCGGGCTCCTGCTCGGCCCTTATCAAGCTGCTGCCCAACAACAGCGAGCTGCTGGTGTCCCACGACACCTGGAATTCCTACCAGCACATGCTTCGCATCATCAAGAAATACGCCTTCCATTTCCGGACGCTGCCCAAAGGTGGGTACCGGGGGAAGGGAACGCACAGTAAGGCTGGGGCTCTGGTCGGGGAGTGGGGGTGCCTGGCAGCCGGGGCCAAAAAGGAGGGCGCGAGAAGGGGTCATGCGCTGTGTGATCTTGGGGAAGTTACGTGACTTCTCTGGGTCTCATCTGTTAATGAGAGGGTTAGACTAGATGTCTCCAAGGTCCCTGCTCACTGCAGATCTGTGCTGCTGTGAGCCCTTCTGGGCCTCAGTTTCCTCATCTGTTCAGTGGGAGGGTTGGCCTCGAGGTCTCTGCCCGCTTCAGATCTAGGCCCGTTGGTCCCTTGTTTCCCCACCTCCCTCCCAGAAAAGGGCTTAGGTCTATTTCCCACCACGAGGCTCTGCTGTGCCCTCACCCTGGAGGGCTGGGCGTTCTTGAGACTGTCTTCTGACCAGGTCCTCTGGTCCGGTCCGTCAGTAACGTGGCTTCCTGGACACACCTTATCCCAAACCCTTCTTTGTTGAGAGCATCTGCAGTGAGGGAGGGTGTTTGACTCAGGAGAGCCTCTGTTCCAAACCTGCCTCTGATACTTTCTTAGCTGTGTGACACTGGACAAGTCATCTTACCCTGTGGACCTCAGTTTCCCCATCTATAAAATGGAGCTAATAATCCCTGTAGTAAGTACCCCATTCTCAGGGTTGCTCTGAGGATCAGATAAGAGAGTTTATGCAAAGTGCTTTATGAACTTTAATAAATCCTGACTGTGTGACCTCATGCAAATAACTCGGTTTCTCAGGGCTCTGAGACTTGGACCGTAAGTTGCCCCCCTGCATTGGCAGAGACAGCCTCCTCCCAGAGTTCCCTACGCCAACGAGGTCGTTAGTCTCTTCATTAATTTTTATTATCATTGTTAACCTGGTGCCTGGCACGGTGCCTGGCACACCGCAGGTGCTTAATAAGTGCTGACTGACTCAATTAACATCCGCAGTGGACAGCTTCCCATCGAGAGAGTAAGAGGGGATGTTCTTGAGAAGGCCATGGATACCCTGGTGCCGATTCATGACCTCGGCCTCGTTGGCTGGTGGGGGGAATTCAGGGGGCATGCAGAAGAGAAGGGGATCTGGGCTCCGGAGGAGAAGGGAAAATCCCTTTTGGGTGAACGAGGCAGCAAAGGGGAACAGAAGTTGGCTTTAGACCAGTCAGCTGACCTGGGTTTGAGGGGCAGCTAGGTGGTGCTGCGGTAGATAGAGCACTAGCCCTGGAGTCAGGAGGATCTGAGTTCAAATCTAGCCTCAGTCACGTCCTAATTGTATGACCCTGGGCAAGTCACTTAACCCTGTTTGCCTCAGTTTCTTTCATCGGTAAAATGAACTGGAGAAAGGAGCAGCGAGGTAGTGCAGTGGATAGAGCACCAGCCCTGGAATCAGGAGAACCTGAGTTTAAATCTGGCCTCAGACCCTTATTAGCTGTGTGACCCTGGGCAAATCACTTCACCCTGATTGTCTTAAAAAAAAAAGTGAGTTTGAATCCCACTCTGTCCTTCATAGGTTGTGTGACTCTGGATAAGTCACTTAACCCTGATTGCCACAAAAACGTGAGTTTTATTCTCAGCCCTGACCTTAATAGGCTGTGTGACTATGGATAAGTCACAGCCCTGATTGCCACAAAAACGTGGGTTTGAATCCCAGCCCTGACCTTCATAGGCTGGGTGACTCTGGATAAGTCACAGCCCTGATTGCCACAAAAACATGGGTTTTATTCTCAGCCCTGACCTTCATAGGCTGGGTGACTCTGGATGAGTCACCCAGCCTCTGAGCCCAGCTGTCTTCTGGAGTCGTCGTGAGGGGGCAGCTTTGTCAGCCTTAAGGGCCCTAGACGGGGGAGCTGGCCGCGGTGGTGGTGGTGGTGATTTATCGTTGTATTGATTAACGGAGCTGGGTCTTCCTCGGCGCTGTCTCTCCTAGGTGGGTCACCACTGATCCCTGGGAACGAGCAGGTGTTCTCCTCCTACCCTGGGACCATCTTCTCCTGCGACGACTTCTACATCTTGGGCAGTGGGTTGGTGAGTGATCATTTTCCTCTTGTTTCCCAACTCGGGACATAGAATCTGAGTTCTGTTACTCCTGAGGCCTTTGTCACCTGGAGGAGCAGTGTAGCACAGTGGAAAGATCACCTCTGAGCCTCAGCCGCTACCTGGGTCACTTTGGACGAGTCACCTCCCCTCTTGGCCTCAACTTCCCCATCTGTAAAATGCTGGGGCGAGGTCGTGTTTCTCTGAGTTTAGGGAGGTGTTGACTTTTTCTTGGCCGTGGCAGCCCTGGAAGCCCAGGATTAGAGGGATTGGGGAGATCTGTGTCTAACGAACCCACCTTGGTGAACTCTCAGGGTCCTTGAAGTCTGGACGATTGGGTTTATAATTTCTTTGAAGTAGGGAAATTCATCCTGCCAATGCAGAGGGGTGCCTGCTTGGCAACACCACGAGTCTCAGGAGCTGCCCGGGGGTATTGAGAAGTTAGATGACTTGCCCAGGGTCACCCAGGCAATGGGTTTCAGAGGCAAGACTCGAACCCAGGGCTGCTTCCCTCTAATGCCAGCTCTCTACTTCTCTGTGATCTAATTCCTGTTGGGCTGTTGAAGCCCCTTGGTCATCTGAGAGTGACTGGGAGTCGGGAAGACCAGCAGTCAAATCCTGCCTCGTCTTGGCCAAGTCATTGAGGGTTAGGGTCAGGCTCAGTTTCCTTATCTGCAAGATTAGGGGGTTGGACCAGATGACCTCAGACGGTCCCCTCCCCTCCTAGATCTGTGAGCCTCAGCATGTTTGAGCTCATCAAAGGCCTGGAAGGGGGAAACACGGCCTGTCAGCAAATCTTTGATCCTGAGATGAAAACTCTTCCAAAGCCTGAAAAAAAGGTAGCTTCAGTCTGAGTGGCGTGGTCTCCCATTTCACCCAGCGAGGAGCCGGTGACTGCCGGTGACAGCTCACATTTCCACAAGGGCTTTTGAACGTTTGAGAAAGCCGCTTCCTCACCACAGCCCTGTGAAATGAGGAGTGGGAGCATTCTTGTTCCCATTTATCAGATGAAGAAACTGAGACCTAGGGAGCGGAAGTGATAGATGTACAGCTGTTTGACTCAGAAGATCAGAGATCTGGAGATGGAAGGGACCCCAGATGCCATCTAGTTTAACTCTCATTTTACAGACAAGGAAACTGAGGCCCAGGGAGATAAGGCGATCTACCCAAGGTCGTACAGGTAATAGTGGGATTTGAACCCAGGTTCTTTGGCTTTAATCCCAGTGCTCTTTCCACTGGACTATACGGCCTCTCCAGTGTCTAGATTCCGTTCAATTCCAAAAGCGTTTATTAAATCCTTACTGTGTGCCAGAGACTGCGCTAGGCACGGGGGATGTGAAATGAGTCCCTCCCTCAGGGGTCTTTCGTTCTCCTGGGAGAGCAATGTTTACGCAGCTAAGTTAGTACAAAATATGTGTGAAGTTACTTTTGGGGAAACTGATAACAACTGAGGGAGTCAGGAAGGGCCTCGTGGAAGGGCCTGTAATTTTGCTGAGTCTCGAATAGACGCGAGGATTCCAGAAATCTTGTGTGTCCTTGGGAAGTCTCTTACCCTCTATGGGTCGTAGTCTCTTAGAACATATGGGCTGTGAGGTCCTTTTCAGCTCTAAATACACTACTGTGTGTGAGCTGGAGGTGATGGAGAGCATTCCAGGCATGGGTGGGGGGGTGGCACAGCCTGTACGAAGACATGGAGGTGGGAGATGAGAGTAATAGATAGGCCAGTTTAGCTGGAACATAGCGTGCATGGGGCAGTGTAATGGGAAGTCAGTCTGCAGAGAGATTGGAGCTGCATGGTGGAGGACTGAAGCCAGCACAGCCCAACCCTCCACTATCCAGGGGCAGTGTCCAGGCACAATCCCATCCCCAAAGAGTTACAATCTGATGGGAGTTAACATGCAGATCCAGAGGAACGGCCAATAAGGATGACCTTGCAGGGGGAGGGTGGTGGGAGATGGGAGAAGCCCTGCCAGATGGAGGGGCCACGGAGGCAGACAGGAGGCTGAAGGTGGCCGGTGCCCACGAGGCCCTCGTCTCACGGCTGTGCCCTGGCCGCAGGTGACCCTGGAGACCACCATTGGCAACAACAACAAAAAGCTGTGGAAGTACGTGAAGCCTCAGAACAGCGTCCTCGAGTGGCTGCGTAATATCGTGGCCAACCGGCTGGCCCACAATGGGTCCACGTGGTCCGCCATCTTTAAGAAGTTCAACAGTGGCACGTGAGTCGCAGACCTCAGGGACTTTGCCGTCCCTAGTGTGTCCTTAGGAAGTCACTTAACAGCCCAGGAGGGCATGGGGTTCCCCAGGCTGGGCGGAGTCAGGCTTTGGAGGGCCTTGAGAGCCAGGTGGAAAGAAGACTTGTTCTGGGTCTGGTAGGAAGAGGGGAACCCCTGTATTTGGGGAAGCTTAGTGTGGTGGCTATGTGATGGATCAGAGCCTGTTAGAGCTAGAAGGAACCTTCGAGACCCCCTCATTTTAATGATGTGGAAACTGAGGCCTTGACGAGGGATGAGACCAGAGCTCTATTGAGCCTTCTCCATCTCTGAGATTCCGCGTCTTCCACTGGCCGGGGCTATCGAGGGTGTGGACCAGGTAGAGGCAGGATGGGCCCGCTGGATCGGCAAGGTCCCTGGTGATCCTCAGCATTGCTGAATTCTCGGTCTCTGGGTCAGGTCTGGCTTGGGATAGAGGTCATCGGCACTCTGTTTACTCACCCCTCATCCCCGCTCCCACCCCCATTCTTTCCTCGGCAGATACAACAACCAGTGGATGATCGTAGATTACAATGTTTTTATTCCTGGGAGGTCCAAGCCCAAGGATGGCCTACTCACTATTCTGGAGCAGATTCCGTGAGTGTCCAGCATCCAGCCCACCTCCCTTTTGGGGCTCTAGGGAGTTAGGCAGGCCATGGCCTTGCATCCGTCTGACCTTTACGGGGTGAGGGGCTACCTTGAGCTGGGGAAGGGGCATTGGGTTTGGACTGGCTGAATGCCTCACTGAGAGAGTCTGGATGTAACCCCTGCCACCCCGGGTCTTGTCAAGTCGGGAATGAGGACCTGGTTATTTGAAGGCATAGGAATGTTGAATATGGAGAGGATAGAGTACCTGGGGGTAGGGTGAGCTGGGTGGGAGGGACAGGAAAAGCGTCTCCAAATATTTGAAAGGCCATCAGATGGAAGGGACCGGCTTTGTTTTGTGTGGCCCCCAGACCACAGGAGCCTGGGGGAGGCTGGACCTGAGGCAGCGAGGCTTCACGTTGGGGAACTTCCTGATATTGAGAGGTTACCAAAAGCTGACTGGGCAGCTGGGAGGTCGTGGGGCCTCTGGGAGGCCGGATGGTCACTTGTCGATCTGGGGAGTCCTGGTCAGGCCAGGGTTGGACTGGATCCGGTTCCTGAGGTCCCACCTAACCCCTCAATTCTGTGTTTCTTTCCTGCGTCCCAGGGGCATGGTGGTGGTGGCTGACAAGACTCAGGAGCTGTATGAGAAGGGCTACTGGGCCAGCTACAACTTACCGTGAGCACTGACCGCTGGGTCTCCCCCCCTCGTCCCCTCTGCTCTGCTCCCGCAGGGGTCTGGGCCCTCTCTGAGGCAGGATGGGGAGCGTGGCAGAAGCAGTCGAAAGGCGCCATCTGCTGCTTGTGTTCTGCTTTGCACCCCCCGTAGCACTGAGGCCCTGCTTGATAAATGTTACAAAGTTCATCACTTTGGAGCTGGAGGGAACTTAGAGGCCATTTTACAGATGAGAACACTGAGGCCTAGACTTGTCTAGGGCCCTATAACTAGAAAGTGTCTGAGAGTAGGATTTGCACCTGGGTCCTCCTGACCCCAAGTCCAGTGTCTTAGCCACTATAGCAAAGGTGTCAAAACAGCTAGCCTGGGGGCTGCGTGTGGCCCTCATCATGCACGAGTGTGGTCCAAACCAGATGAAAATATAACTGGGAAATATTTAACAAAATAAGTAAAGATACAATAAAGCATAGATAATACTATATTTTAAAATGAAGTCAGTATGGAGCCCCCAGGAGTCCTTATGTACAGCTTAGTGACCTCCCTTTCTATTTGAGGTGCCTGCTGTATTGCCTCTCATATGGTTTGTTGAATTAAATTCATGACCCCCTTAGCATTCATTCATTCATTCATTCATTCATGACTAAGTGCCCACTCTTGGAGAGCATCGTGCTGACCTCGTGGAGCAGAGCCTATGAAGGCACTGATAGGTCATAAGTAACATTTCTAGAGCTCACTTTATCCTTATAACAACCCTGGGACGTAGATGCTGTCGTTATCCCCATTTTATAGTTGAGGAAACTGAGCCGGACAGAGGTTACAAGTGACTTGTCCAAGGTTACCCAGCTACTTAAGTGTCTGAGGCAAGATTTGAACTCAGAGCTTCCTAAATTCCAGGTCCAGTGCTCTATCCCCTGAGCCACCTAGCCACGCTAAGATAGTGACAGTTCTCACCACAGTAAGTGTATCATGTGACCTGGTGTGGGGTAGTGGGAAGCATGTGGAACCCAGAACCAGAAAACCAGGGTTTGAATTTCAGCCCCGCTGTGGATTCTCTGTCCTTTTCTCTCTCTGGGCCTCAGTTTCCTTGTCTACCAAATAGCAGGGTTTGCTCAGTGCTCTGTGAGGTGCCCTCCAGACCTCAATCTGTCATTGTAGTGAGGCAGAAAACAGTGGTGCTTGCGGGTGGTGGTGTGGGGTGGGGGGTGTGGGGGGAGGGCATGGAGTGGAGATGACCCTGCCTTCCCCTTCTCCACTCCCCAGGTATTTTGAATCTGTGTTCAACGCCAGTGGGATGCCAGACCTGGTGAAGAAATTTGGCGACTGGTTCTCATACAAGAGCAGCCCCCGAGCCCGGATCTTTGAACGGAACCAGTCACTGGTGCATGACGTGGACTCCATGATCCGGCTGATGAGGTCAGGACCCCAGACTTTGTTCTTACTGTTGTAGAGGCGGCGTGGTGTGCACCGGAAAGAACCCGTGATTTGCAGTCGGGTGACTGGACTTTGAAATTTGGAAATGTGACTGAGGTCAAGTTCCTTCCTCTTCCTGGACCTCAGTTTTCCTAGCTGTCCAATGATGGGGTCGGGTTAGGAAGGTGATCTCTTAGGTCCTAATGGGTGTATGAGATGCGTGGAGAAATGTTTCCTTGATTGTGAATGAAGGCTGTAGTTCTGTTCTGAAAGAACAGAAAGAAAGAAGCCCATTCTTCCATCACATCTCCACATTTGAGAGGCGTGTCTTCTGTTCCTTTGATAAAAGTTATTGCTAAAAGTATTGAAAGGAATTGGGGCAAAGCACTCTAATGGACACTTCCTTTCAAGTGATCAAACCACTCAGAGCCCGATCGCTCAAAACCCACCTAACTATAGTATGATCTAGCCCAGAAGAGTCAAACCCAGAGGCCCAAAGCAGTAAATGTGTAATAAAATAAGTAAGAATACAATAAAACATAAATAATGTTAATTGGTGGTTTTCTTAGCCAACATGCAGCCCTCAAGGATCTGTTTCCCTTTGAGTTTGACCCCATTGATCTAGGCCACATCTCCCTGACTTTTCCCCAGAAATTCCGTGTAACACTTTGTCGGGTGTCTCACTAAAATCTCCGTAACCTCTGTGAGCAGCATTTCCCTTGAGCTAGTGACCTGGCGAGAAAGGAAAAGATGCAAGTTTGGCATGACCTGTTATGACTGAAGCCTTGCCAGCTCTCTGTAATCTCTGCTTCCTTTTCTAGGCTTTCACAGACCATCCCTTTAATAATCCCTTCTGGAGTTGTTTTCTGGGAATTGAAGTCAGGCTCTGCTGTTGAGAGTTTACAGACCATTCTTCCCTTCTCTGGGAAAATTGGGACATTTGCTCTTCTCTCCTAAGGTTCCCCTCCCATTCTCCATGTTCTTTTAAATGTGGGATTGTGACTCAGCAGTTACTTCTTCCAGCTGTTTGAGTACCAAAGATGTGATTTATGGGACCAGGTGATTTGACTTCACCAAGGTCCACTGGTTTTTATTTACTATCTCCTTATTCATCCTGTGTATCCGTCCCCGCACCACCCCATTTTCCTGTCTGAAGTTTGCTCTTGGTAGAGAAAACAGACATACCTCCCTCCCCCACCAAAAAAAAAAAAAAAAAAATTGGGCCATTCTTGCCCTTTCTTCCCTGGGAAGTTCTCCTTCCCTGTTCTTCTCTTTCCAGTTCTCCTCCTCCTGCATGACTCTTCCTGCTCAGCTGGTTACTCATCCCTGTCATGCCCACTACCCAAGGCTCTGTCCTGGGCCCTTCTCTCTCTTTTGTCTCCACTCACTCACTTGGCAATCTCACCAGCTCCCAAGGGTTCAATGATCATTTCTGTTCAGATGATCCCCATGTCTTTAGATTCAGCCCTAGACTCTCTGCTGAGCTGGAGTCTCATTTCTCCAGCTGCCTTTTGGACATCCCCAGTTGAGTGTTCCATGGGTGTCTCAAGTTCAGCATGACTGAAACTGTACTCCTTATCTTCCCCCAGAAACTCTCCCTTTTTCCCAATTCCCTTAGTACCATTGAGGGCACGACCATCGTCCGAGTCACTCAGGCCTGAAGCCTCGGGGTTGTCCGTACTCCTCTCTCTGACCCCACACATCCTGTCCGTTACCAAGCCTTGTTGTTTCCACCTTCCCGCTGTCTCTCACGTACGTCCCATTCTCTCCTCTGCAGTGGCTGCTTCCTCAGTCTGGGCTCTCATCACCTCTCTTCTAGAGGTCTACTCTACAGACATCTAGTTGGTCTCCTGACTCTGGTCCACTCACCGCTCAGGTGCCAAGGGGATTTTCCTTCTACTCATTAAGCTCCCATCGCTCCCTGACACGCCCAGGACCAAATAGAAGCCCTTTGATATTGAAAGCGTTTCATAAGCTGACCCTTACCTACCCTCCCAGCCTTCTCATGCCTCTCTCCCCTTCACACGCTCTACAGTCCAGCTCTTCTGGCCTGTTTGCCACTCCTTAAAGATGGTGCTGCACCACCCATCTCAGTGCCTTAGCACTGTCTGTCTTGGAACACTGACCTTTCACCTCTGCCTCTTGGCTTGTCTGGTTTCCTTCAAGACTTGCCCCAAATCCTGCCTTCTGCAGGAGACCTTTCCTGATCCACCTAGCCGCTAGTAATACCTTTCCTCTTTTGGAATATCCCCTTTATCCTACTTTGTTACATATCTTGTATGTGTATATATGTGTGTATTTATGTATATGTATATGTATAATATATATTATATCTACATATCTTACAGGTACCTAGTTATTTACATGTTACCTTCCCTCAATAGACTGTAAGCTCCTTGAGGGCAAGGACTGTTTTTTTGCCTTTCTTGGTGTCCCCAGTACTTTAACACAGTGCCTGGCACACAGTAGGTGCTTAATAAGTACTTGTAGATTGACTAATTGACCGTTGTCTGTTACCATCATTCCGTGTGCCCCGAGCAGTGGTCCAGTCTCTTGTTTGACCCTTCTCTTTCTCCTAAAAACAAAGCAGCCTGTTTTCAGTTGTCCTTAGGTTTCCTTTCCAGCCTTGGGTCATTCTGAGCTTGAGCACTCCAGACACCCTTGGTGAATGCTGCAACACACCATGCTCTTGCACCCCCCCCAATTATCTTTTATCTTCTGTTCAAATCTTTTTTTTTTTTAAATATAAGTTGCTTAGTGAGCTCTCTGAGTATTCACATCAAGTCTCTCAGGCAACTCCTATTTCTCTTTCTCTTTGGAATTTTTTCTCCTAGATCTTTAAAATTTCATTCTTGGGAGTTTCCTCACCAACTAGGAGGTGACCTCTTCAGAAGAATTTTAGTTCTTGGCACCCAAGCTTTGTCTCATCCATCCTTGGTCTCAGTCCTTTGAAATCTGCTCACCTGCAATGCAGGGTGCCATCAGACCATGTCTGTTTTCCCCTCCGCTTTTCTATCAGAAGCTCTCTGATGGCGTGTTCACAAGGGAGAACTCCTCAGGGTTCCCATTATTTTTAGTCTAGCAACCAGTTCCTTCCAATTTGTGAGAACCAGATCTAGAACTGAATTTCTCTTTGTTGGCTTCTCTGCCTTTTGAAGGAAGAAATGATTCTCTGATCTGTGGTGGGCAGAGAGATTGAGCTTCAGCATGTATCTGGATAAATGAAGTCCTTCAGCACTATCATGGTTTTGTTCCAGGCTTGTGATGTTTCCCAAACTCAAATATTTCCTCTTTCTGTCTGGGTGGTCTGTAGTATACTCCCTTGACAAGATCGCTTGTCTTATTGACTTTTACCCAAATTCTCTCCATCATGCTCTTGATTTCTCTGCATGCATATGCCTTCTCAGAATATAATGCAACCGGGGCAGCTAGGTGGCGCAGTGGATAGAGCACCGGCCCTGAAGTCAGGAGGACCTGAGTTCAAATGCGGCCTCAGACCAAACACTTGACACTTACTAGCTGTGTGACCCTGGGCAAATCACTTAATCCGGCCTCAGGCCAAACACTTGACACTTACTAGCTGTGTGACCCTGGGCAAATCACTTAACCCCAATTGCCCAAAAATTAAAAAAAAAATATAATGCAACCTGACTCTCCTCATCCCCTTATTTCTTTTGAATAAAGTATACCCGCCTGATATAGTATACCCAACAAGTAAGTCCCAGCCAGCCATTGGGTCATATTTCTCCACTCTCATCGATCCCTCTGAGGTCAAATATGTCATCTTGAAGTAGGATCTGTAGTTTGCCTTTCTCGTTGGAGCCTAGTAGAATGCCTTGCATAAAGTATGGGACTTGTCCTACTGAATTTTTACTTCTACTTTAGTATATTTGTATGTTGACATTTGAGTCCATAGATTTTTTTTTTTTTTTTGCTAGTTCATTTCTTAGATCTTATTGCCTTCAGATTTGTGTGTGTCTCTATTCCTAGTCTTCTTCCTCCATTGTAGCTGCTCTCTGTGATATTAGATTTGGTAGATAAAAATTGGCAGTTCATTTTTGTTTTAAAGCCCTTTTGATTAGATTTGTGAGACTTCAGGCAGATATATTTTTACCGGCCCTTGTTAGGATTCCATCCTTGGCCACATGCTATGGTTCAGAAATCCAAAAACCTTTCTCAGACTTTTTTTAAAAAATTGTTTTATATGTATATACACATGCATACACATACATATATCACTTTTGTTTTGAACCTCTTTGGGGTATATTTCCAGTACTGGGCTGAGTCTAAAGGTATGAACGGTTACTACCTTTTCTGTCAGAATTCCAGATTGTTTTCCAGCAGGATTGGACCAATTCGCAGCTCTACTAGCAATGTATTAGTGTGTCTGTTTCTAGCATTTATTAGTTCCATCTTTTATCACCAGTTTGATGCATGGTGTTTTCATTTTTCTTGTTAGTAGTGATTGGAGATAATTTTCGCATGGTTGTTGATCGTTTGTATTTCTGCTTTTGAAAACTGCTCATATCCTTTGACCACTTACCTATTGGGGAATGACCCTTAGGCAGATATATTTTTTGTAACCAGCTGTAACTTCCTGCATCTGCCTCTCTCTTTTGAAGCCCTTGTCTTTATTAGGCAGTGGTGATTGACTCCACTGTGCGCCCACAATCTTAGGGTTCTTGCCCAAAGGTTTTGTAATCTGTAGCTGCGCTCTGTAGATTCCAGCATCCTTTCAGTTTGACAGATTTGGGGAGGTTTTCTGACAGGTTCTGGATGCTGGTCCTGGGGTCTCACTCCCTGCCCTCTCTCTTCTTAGGGCGAAGCTTCCCTTCCTCTTGGCCATATTCTAACACCACTCCCCTCTTTCAGGTTCAACAACTTTCCCAATGATCCTCTGTCCCTTTGTCTGGACTGCAAACCTATGCAGAATGGGGAGAATGCCATCTCAGCCCGCTCGGACCTCAACCCAGCTAATGGGACCTACCCCTTTTCTGCTCTATCCCAGAGATCCCACGGAGGCATAGACATGAAGGTTTGTGTGTGGCCTCAGGTGGTATGGGAGGGTATCCTCTGTCCCAAAGAGGGCACCTGGTGTGGGGGGATGGTGGTGCTGTCTCTTCAGCTTCCAGACCCTGGTAATTTGGAGGCTGGTTAGACCCCATGGTGGCACGTGGGTGGTGCTCGGATGAGGGCCAAGGCTGGGGATGGGGTAGAGTGCTAGGAGTGGGGATGGGAGCATGGCTATTATCCACCCGCCTCCCCTCACCCTTTTTTCAGCTCACTTCTTATGCGCTGTCCAAAGACTTCCGCCTAATTGCAGTCAGCGGCCCCACGTGGGACCAGTTACCCCCCTTCCGATGGAGCTCATCACCCTTCGCCAAGCAGTTACACATGGGTCATCCGGACCTCTGGAAGTTCTCCCCCATCAAGGTGTGGTGGCAGTGAAACTGGGCATCAGCCCCTCTCCCCAGCACCCCACCACCCTTGACCCCAGTTCCTCTCCTCCTCATCTACCCTGGCCGCCTGTTTGTCTGTCCGACCCTGGAACCCCAAGGAATATGCCTGCCGGGCCCGGAGGGCTGAGGTCCCTCCACTGTCTGCTGCTTCATTGGCTCTCGAGCCACCTGCCTTGTCCAAAGAGGCCCTGAGGGCCTTAGGGGACCACCAGTTTCCCAGCCCCATTCCTCCCATTCCCTCCTGAGCCCTGAGCTCCAGCCTCTGAAAGCAAGGTGGCTTTCCTGGAGAAGGATGGGAGGAGAGGAGGCTTCTGGGCTTTACCTCTGTGGCTGAAACCCTCAAGGATCTGCTGGACTGTGGAGAGCCTGCTTCCTGCCTTCCCAGACCTGTCTCATTTGAGGAAGCAGGCTCCCACCTTTCTAGGCACCTCCCCCTTACAGCTTTGTTCACTGAGACTGCACTCCCCCAATCAGGCTTCTGCCCCCACCTAGACAGTGATGTGGAAGAGCTAGGCATGACGCCCCCTGCCTCATTCCCCCCCATGTCCATACTGTTAGCCTCCTTCTTTGGACTGCCCTTCTGGAACAAATTTGGAAAAAACAAATGAACACCAAAGTACATCAGACCTTCCCCTGAAACCCTGGACTTAGAGGTTTGGGGGCTTAGGCTTTCCCTGGGCTCCCTGGGCTGTGGGTCTGTGTCCCTTTCCCCAGCTTCCCAGGCTGTGGGCTCTGTCTCTAGTGCCTGACCTTGCCATAAGTGGGGACTGTAGCGGGGAGCCAGCCCTCTTGGGTCTGTGGGTGGGACTCCTGGTGCAGTGGCCCTTTGCTGACCTCCCTGATTTCACCTCCTCACCCTAGCTAACTCTTACCACCTCTCACTGATCAAGACCACTCTGGGGGGCAGGGGAGGGGTTGGCCTTGCTTACTGACCTGCAGGCCTTGGAGAGAAGGCTGGGGCAGGGAAGCAGCTGCCTCCGTGGAAATGGCAGCGGTCCCAGAGGCCCCTTGGAGAACACTGGATGTCCTCCTCCTGAGCTCTCTCTGCTGCAGCCCCTCCCCTCCCCAGGGCCGAGCTCTGCCACGCTCAGAGTGCCTGAGAGGTTTGTGGCGACTGGGCCTTGGGCTCTCTCGTCGCCAGGCCGCAAATGGATGCAATGTTATTAAAAGAGAGACTATCACCTCCAGCCCCGCTCTGCTTTTTGGAGGGGGTCGGGGTGTTGGCTGGGAATGGGCTGGGGCTTGCAGAAAATCAGAATTTCAGAGACGTCCAAGCCTGTCCACCTAAGTCCAACCCGGACCTGAGCTGAAATCCCCTCTCTAGCCCAGAGAACCTTGGGCAGGTCACAGCCGCCCTGGGCCTCCTTGTCTTCACCTGTAAAGTGGACCACCTGACTGGGAGCACCACAACTGCGATGTTAGGCAAGTCACCTGATTTCTCTGGGCTCGGTTTCCTGATCTGAAAGGCGGGGGTTGAACTAAGTGGCTTCTTAAAGTCCCTTCTTGCTCTCTGTGAGCTCCAATGTGGAAGGACAGCTAGTGGGGGACAAGGCCTGAGAAGGCTGGGGAGGCAGAGAGGGACCCCTGCCCGCTCCAGTCTTAAAACCAGAGCACGGGTGCTAATCCCTCGTCCGTGTGTCCCCAATGCCTCGAACAACAAATGAATGAGGAAGTATTTATTAGATGCTTGCTATGTGCCGAGCACTGTGGATACAAGTCATAATGAACTTTCGTGTAGGTTTTTAAGATTTGCAAAGCACTTTGCATGTCATCGTGTGATTCTCAGAGAAACCCTGTGAGGCGGGTGTTGTTATTATCCTCATTTTACAGATAAGAAAACTGAGGCACAGAGAAATTAAGTGACTTGCCCACCATCATATAGCTCCTAAGTGTTTGAGTCAGGATCTGAACTCAAGTCTTTATGATTCCAAGGCCATGCTCTCCAGTAGACATCTAACTGCCTAAAACAGAAATCAGAGAAGACAATTCCTTTTCTCAAGAACCTTGAGTCCTAAAGAGGTTTCAGCTGCAGGTGGATAGAAAGGCCCAGTGGTTACTGGGGTTCAGCTGGGGGCAGATTGCAAGGCCCAGGGATTCTTAGGGTGCACTGCTAAATCAGATGCAGCCAGTGCCTGGGGGGAGGGGGTTCTGGAGGACCTTTGGGTGCCTCCATTTTACTGGGAGGACAATACTTGGTGACTCCTTGTTAAAGGGTGTGAGTAGCCAGAGTTATCACGTGTTGATGGTGTGTGTGTGTGTGTGTGTGTGTGTGTGTGTGTGTTTTGGGGGGATGGCTGGAGGGGCCTAGCCCGTGACTGTTGGGAAGAAGAGAAGTGGGCCCAAGGGTCAGAGTGGATCCAGGGTCTGGGTTCCCTCCCCAGGGAGTGATTATAGGGGTCAGCATCCAGCATCCATCCAGTCAGTCAGTAAGCATTATGTGCCTACTATGTGCTAACTGCTGGGGCATACAAAGAAAGGTATAAGATAGGCACCCTTGGAGCTTGCAGTCTGATGGGGGAGATAACATGCATAACAAACAAGCTACAGACAGGATACGTTGGAGAGAAACAACAGGGAAGGTATTAAATGTTAAGGGGGATCAGGAAAGATTTCTGCAGAAGGTGAGATTTTGGCTGGTATTTCAGGGAAGCCAAGAGGCAGAAATGAGGAGGGAGAATATTCCGGGCATGGGAGATAGCTGGGAGGAGGTCGTGGGGGAAGGGCATCCATCCCTCTGGGGCTCTTGTAGCCTCTGGCTCACAGGCACACTCCATAAAGGCTTGTTTCATTGATTAATACAATTTAGAATGAGAAGGGATTTCACATGGCCCATTGGACAGAGTATTGGCCCCAGAGGCAGGAGGACCTGCATTTAAATCTTGCCTCCTGTACTTGCAGCCTGGGCAAGTTACTTAACCACACGTCTGCCTCAGTTGCCTCATCTGTAAAATAGTGGTAATCATAGCATCTGCTTCTCAAGGTTGTTGTAAGGATCACATGAGATAATGTTTGTAAAGCGCTTTGCAAACCTTAAAGCACTATATAAATGCTGGCCATTGTTTATTGTCACTATTATTGTAACTATTATTACCTATTATGATCCCCCCCCCTTTTTTTTTTTAGGCAAATGGGGTTAAGTGACTTGCCCAGGGTCACACAGCTAGTACACGTCAAGTATTTGGTCTGAGGTCAGATTTGAACTTGGGTCCTCCTGACTTCAGGGCCGGTGCTCTATCCACTGCGCCACCTAGCTGCTCCCCATCCCTTCACTTTTAATGGAGAAAGAGGTGGTCATTGACTTCCTAGGTTCACACAGCTCATTTCAGTTTCAGAGCCAGGATTTGAACTCAGGTCTAATAATCAGTGCAGAAATGTTTACAACTCTGTCCCTAACTCTTTTAGTTGTGACAGCTCCTCTCGTGGCCTCTCCTCCCTTTTCTCTTTCCTCTCCCTTTTCTCTCTGTTCTCCTCTTCCTCTTCTCTCCTCTCCCTCTCCTTTCTCTCTCTTTCTCCTCGCCTCCCCTTTTCTCTCCTCCCTTTTCTCCCTCCCCTCCTCCCTTTTCTCTTTCCTCTCATCTCCCCTTTTTCTCTCCTCTTTTCTCTCCCTCTCCCTCTTCTCTCTTCTCCCTTCTCCCTCTCCTTCTCTCTTTCTCTTTCTTCTCTTCTCCCCTTCCCTTTCTCCTGTTTATTGAAGAAATCTTTGATTCTTCCTCATCCTCAAACCTAGCTCCGAGTTTTCTGTCATTCTCTTATAATCTATATACATTAGCCTCCCCTGCTTTCTCTTCCCCGAGGCTGACAGTAAGCGGCACTGTCCAGTGCTTCTGCTTGGGCATTCTCTCAGGAAGGATCCCAGCACCAAGATGTTAGAGATGGAAGGGCCTGGAAGTCACCTGGTATAACCCTCTCATTTCAAAGAGGGGAAAAATTACTCAGAAGGGTGGGATTTGGACATAGGAAATGAGAGGTGGACCTTGACCTCCAAATGCTGCTTTTTAAGGCCACTGATTCCTTACCGAGCATTTACTGAACACCTACTATATGCCAGACACTGCACTAGGCACTGGATAGGAAGACAATATGTAACCTCAAGGAGGTTATGTTCTAATGGAGAAGACAGTGTGAATCTGTAATATACACGTAACATACACAGTGAATCCGAGGTTCAGAAAGGAGGGCACTATTAACTTGGGGGAGCAAGATGGGTTTTGTGTAGAAGGTAGTGCTTGAACTGAGTCATGAAAGGAGTGAGGGATGCTGTGAATTGTAGGTGGGGAGGCAGTGCCCTCCAGGCATGGGAGATAGACGTTGCAAAGGCGTGGAAGTGAGAGATAGAGTTCTGTCTGTGAGGAACGGCGAGAAGCCTGGAAAGGTAGCTTGGGGGACATTTTGTGAAGGACTTTCAAAGCCAGAAGAGTTTATAGTCGATCCTAGAGGTAACAGGGAGCCATCAGAGTTGATAGAATAAGGGAGTGACATCGGTCAGAGTTGTTATTTAAGAAAATCACTTTGGCAGCTTGAGTGAAGGATGAGTTGGAGTAGGGACAGCCTTGAGGCGCGGAGACCAAGAGTACGAGCAAGAGGAGATGAGACTCCGGAATTTGAGAAGGGGATGGATGCTGGTGGAAGTGTGAAGATTTGGCAACTGAGGGGGCAGCTAGGTGGTGCGGTGGATAGAGCACTGGTTCCGGAGGACCTGAGTTCAAATCCGGCCTCAGACATTTGACACTTACTAGCTGTGTGACCCTGGGCAAGTCACTTAACCCCATTGCCTAGTCAAAAAGCAAAACAAACAAACAAGCAAAAAAGATTTGGCAACTGAATGGAGGGGGATGAGGGAGAGTGAGGAGTTGAGAATAATGCCCTAACAGCCCTCTCTTGTTGGTGTTGATGGTGCCTTCAAGAGGCAGTGAAAAGAACTAGATTTGGAGCCAGAGCCTGGGTTCAGATTTTGATCTTGCCTCTTACTGTGTATGTAGCAGGGAGCTAAGTGGCACAGTGGGTGGAACATTTGGTGTGGAGTAAGGAAGACCTTAGTTCAAATCCCACCTCAGACTTAACTAGCTGTGGGGACCCTGGACTTCTGCCTGCCTCAGTTTCCTCAACAGTAAAAGGAGATAGTAATAGTAGCCCACCTCCCAGAGTTGTTGTGAGGATCAAATGAGATAATATTTGTAAAAAGCACTTAGCCCAGTGCCTGGCACATAGTAGGCGCTTAATAAATTATTTCCTTCCTTTCGTTATGGTTTTTTTTTTTAAGTATAATTACTGACATTCCTTGCCTCACATGATGGTTTTGAGGAAAGTGCTTTGTAAAGCATGGATGTTGTTAATATCTGCAATAAAAAGTCATCTTGAAGGCAAGACTATCGTTGTTTATCTTTGCATGTCCAAGGCTTTGCACAGAGTAGGAGGACAGGGATTGGACCTGGGATTTTGTTGATATAGGGAATTGTCTGAGAAATTCCAGGGTGCAGTGCAGGATCGTCCAGGCAGCCTGTGTCAGAGTCAGGATCTGAATCCAGGTCTTCCTGTGCGTGAGGCCAAACTTCTATCCACTATGGTTAATAACAGATTTGTTGCACTTGAACTAATGGCGTCCCCCACTGGGAGTTTCCCATAATCCTTAGCTTTAAAATGTTGCATTCTCCAGCACCTCTGCACTTCCCGTCTGTAGCACCATAGCGCCCCCTGATGGCCAGCACTCTTCCCTGCAGGAAGCAGGGACTTGGCCAGTAGCGGTCCCTGTTAAGGTGGGGAGAGGGGAGGATTTGACTCCTGAATTTTCTTCTCTCCAGTGTTCTCTCTGGTGTCAGGGATTTCAGCAAAACCTATTTATTTCTCGTGTTTCCCTGGGCCTAGAATGGCTACTCCATGAGACCCAGCTAGAGTGAGGGGTGCTTTCCTCAGCCTCCCTATGCCACATTCCTGTTGGGGCCATTTAAGATCTCCGGCAGAAAGAGAAATGAAAAGACAGTAAAGAAATAACAGATCCAGATCACCTTTCATAAATAGATGTTTAATTGGTTGGTTTTTTTTTCAGTGAAAAAGTTTGGACGTTAGAAAAATGAGTAGGGTCTGGTCTAGACTCCCCAACCCTGGAGAAGGTAACCAAGGTGGAGGGTGGGCTGTGGAGAAGAAACTTAGATGCTCCTCGCTCCCCTGTCCAGCCTTGATCCTTCTCTTTTGACCTTTAGGCCCCTCTTCTAATCAGAGACAGAGATGGGGGCACCGAGTGAAAGTCCCATGACCCATCTCCTCCACTCCCTCCCGTCTGGCTCAGCTCTCAATTCCTGGGCTTCCCAGGTTTCTGTGGGGCCGGTGGAAGGGGTGGATTAAAGTGGGGCTAAGTAGGAGTCTCAGAATAGGGCCAGGGTTCCCCTTTTCCCCCTGTAAAGCCAGGAGTTCACAAGTGGCTGGAGGCCCTCTCCCCAGCCCTGGCCCCCCTACCAGAAAGAGGTCTGCCTCTTCCTGCCCCACGGGTGGCTACCCTCCAACAACAACAACAGAACAGCAGTAATAATAATCATAAAATAAGGCGCTGGATAAAACTCCAGCCCCACGCCGGAGGAGGTCGGTGGGAGTGGGCTCAGCTGGTTTTCATTCCCAGCTGCTCTTTAAGCCCTTGGAGCTGAGCCAAGCTGATATTGCTCCCACCACACACGATGACCACCACATTGGACAGCTCGGCCGGGAGCTTCCCCTCGCCCTGTAGCTTTTGTACAGCACCACTGTAGATAGCTGCCAGAGCCGCCCCGCATGCCGGCTCCACCAGGATCTTCTCGTGATCTGCAGGAACCAGAAGAAGGCAAAGGTTAGGGGCTGAGAGAGCAGGGGCATGGAGCCTTGGGGAGCCAGCGGGCTCTTGAGGAAGTCCCTGAACCAGGCTGCCCAGTGACTGCAACCTCCTCAGTCAATAAGCAAGTATTTATCTGCTCTTACTAAGACGAACAAAGAAAAGCGAAAAACAGAGGCAATCTTTGCCCTCAAAGAGGCTTCCATTCTAATGGAGGAGACGACATGTGAGTAAAAACGTATGAGCCGTGGAACAGAAGGAAGGTAGAGAATAAGGAGCTGAAGCTGGCCATCCCAGCATCCTAAGACTAGTCCTGGACTAAGTGCTTGAACTTAATAATAGCAACAACAATAGTAATTAGTAATAATAATGACAACAATTAACATTTACACTTTAAATTTTGCAAAGCATTTTATCGACCAGGCTCGTCATGTCTTCATTCCTCTCCAAATTCTACACCTGACTCTCCAGGCTTTCCCCAACCGAGCCCCTCACCCCTCTTTTCAGCTTCCTTTTTCAGAGTGGTCTTCCATCGTTAGAATGGAAGCTCCTTGAAGGTAGGGACTGTCTTTCCACTGATATTTGTATGCCCAACACTTAGCACAGTGCCTGGCACTTAGTATGCACTTAATAAATGTTGATTGACTTGTTGACTCAGAGGATTGAATTGGTAATGGTTTGGTCAGATCCTGGTCCAGGCTGGAGAGGGACAGTTTGGGGTGGGGGCCTTGCTCCTGATCGTGCCTCCACAGAACATAGGCCTGCTTACCTCTCTGGCTTCTGTAAGTCCCGCTAAGATCCCATGTTCTACAGGATGCCTTCCTTTTCTTAATGATTTCCTACTTACCCTGAATAGAGCTTGTACATATTTGCTCCTTGTCTCCCTCATTAGATTGCAAGCCCCTTGAAGGCAGGGCCTGTTTTTTTGCCTCATTTTGTATCACTGGCACTTAACATAGTGTCTGGCACATAGTAGGCACTTAATAAATGTTTATTGACTGACTGTAGGCAGTGGTGTCCTAGAGTTGGCTCTAGAGCTGATTGTTAAATTTTCCGTGTAATTTTATTTCTTCATGGAAATTGGCAAACACAACTAATCATTGTTTGATTGTGTTTTTGTTTTATTGATTATCTAGACTTACAAAGTGATGGGAAAATGTTAATAATGCAGATGAAACTTAATTGTGTGTGTGTATATATATATATATATTTTTTTTTTTGGTGTGTGTGTGTGTATGCATATACATATATACAAACGCACACATATAGATAGCTAGTCTGGAGATCTGGTTGTTAAACATTTACCGGCACATCCCTGCCTAGAGGGAAGGCCTCTGTGCTCCCCTAATCCCACCCTCCCCCATCTCCTGCCCTCATCTGGAGTTAAGACAGAGTCCGGCACTTACCCACAAACTTCTCAATAGCTTCAACTGCCTCTTGGTCCGTGATGACTTCAGAGAAGATGGGGTATTCCTGGGCCAGCTTCAGGGCCTGAGCCCCAACGGTGTTCACCCCGAGGGCTTTAGCCACACTAGAAGAGGTGGAGAAAAAAGGCACTGGAATCCCATGGACGCCCACCTGCACTTTTAAAGGGTGTTTCCAACACAACCACCATGGAGGTAGCACCTGGTAGTGCAAGGAGGCCTTGCTTTACTGGGTAAGTGTGCTCTGAAAAGGGTGAGTGGTGTAAATTTTTCTAAATAATAATGTATAATTAATTGATAATTGTTAATCATTAATTATTAAGAAGCAGTGGTTAGTAGAGAGTGGAAATTTACCACACTCCTCTGGATGTATGCAAATCTCATCCCCTTCAACCGGCTTTGAGAAGGTATTTCCTCTCCTGGGAGTTCCTTATATCAATGAAATCACAAACAAAAATACTCCCACTAATGGACACCATCCACTGCTTTACATCTGTCATCTCAGTGATTTACAACAAGCATCATCCCCAGATGGCAGATGGAAACTGAGACTGGGGTGAAGGGACATAGGTGTAGCCCCAGTGAAAGTAAGTGCCAGAGGCAAGATTTGCAGGTCCCTCAGTCTATCCACTAAGTCACGACTCTATTCTAAAGGCCTTAGGCAGGTTCCCCACCTCTTCAAGGAAAGGGAGCCAAGTGGCCATACTTGATCATCCTTGCATTGCTCAGAATTCCAAGGGTTTGGAGGTTGGGAGGTAGGGCGGGCTAGCATTCAAGGGTCCTTTACCCTTGGTTTTACCCTTTTGGTTAGGGGCCAAGCAACCACGATCAAGGATCATGAGATAAGGGCATCTTGGAGGGAGGGGGAAACTGAGTCGGGGGAAACTTGGTGGGAGCAAAGATGGTGGATAGGACCTGGACCTGTGATCTCATTGGAATAGGCAACCTTCTTCTGCATCTTAGGGCTTTAGAGAGTAGTTTAGATATCACTGAGGAGTTTGAGTCACTTGTCCAGGATTAATGAATTAACAAATATTTATTAAGCACCTAGTATGTGCCAGGCACTGTGCTAAGCTAGGAATACAAAAAGAGGCAAGAGAAAGTCCCTGCCCTCAGGGAGTTTACAGTCTAATAGGAGAGACCACAAGCAGACAAAATGTATACAAAGCAAGCTATATATGGGATAAATAGAAGATGTTTAACAGAGGGAAGGTCCTGGGATGCAGAGGGATTGGGGAAGGCTTTGGGTTAGGGTGGGATTTCCAGGAAGGTCAGTAGTTACAGTGGAGGAGGGATGGCATTCCAGGTCCTGGGGATGTATCAGAGATAGGATATGAACCCAGGTCTATTCTTTCTATCCCTGAATGTGGCTTTCTATCCACTGTGCTACGTGGCCTCTTCAGGACCGGAGAGGGAACTCTGCATTTAGAGTCAGAAGATACAGGTTCTAATCCTGGCTCTGTCAGTTGCTTGGGTGAATTCTTTAATTTTCCTGCGCCTCTGTTTCCAAATTCATTAAAGGATGGGGTTCACCTGGATCGATAAGATACCTCCCAGCTCCCAGCTGTGATCCAGAGGCTTCCTAGAGGGCAACGGTGTTTATGCCCAGTGGTGAGAACAGAGAAGCCGCTTACTCCTTTTCTAGGACAGGAGTTTAAGCCCCTGGATGCTTGGCCCAGGGTCCTGGGCTCGTGTAGCTGCTGTCTGTCACCAGTCAGCAGCCCTCGGTGCCTAAAGTCAGCAAGACCAGAGTTCAAATCCAGCCTCAGATACTTACAGCTGTGTGATGCTCTGTCTGCCTCAGTTTCGGATCATAATGGCACTTACCTTGCAAGGTTGTTGTGAGGATCAAATGAGATAATACTAGTAAAGCGCTTAGCATGGTGCCTGGCGCATAGTAGGTGCTTAATAAATGCTCATTTCCTTCTCCCTGTCTCCCTTACCTGGTAATCTTGGGAAGTGTGACCAGCTTGCCAGCTTTGATGGCTGCATTGAAACTGTGGGCCCCGTGGGTCTCCATTGCCATGATGGGCACGTCCTTCCAGCCCACCTCCACCAGGCCCTGCACCACGCCACACAGGAGGCCGCCACCACCTACGGACAGGGCGATGGCCCCTGGCTTCACGGGAAGGTTCTCTTTCAGCTCCTTCACAATGGTAGTGTGGCCTTCCCTGGAGGGTAGGAATCAGAAAATGCCATTAGCTCAGAGTTGAAGGAGCCTTCTGAACATCTAGTTCGGTCTGTATCAGAGGCATGACTTGCCACCGACCTTCACTTGAACACCTGCATGGATGGACAACTTACTACCTTCCAAGGCAGCCCAAGTCCACTTTTGGACACCTTCCATTTTCAGGATGTTTTTCATTTTTGGCCATGGCCAATGTGGGAATTTGCTTTTCTTCGCTATGAATATTTGTTACAAAGGTTTTTTTTTAGGGAAAATAAATGCTTGTTAATTTAAAAATACATAATAATTAATTCAAAAATTTCTAGCCTTCCCTAAAATTTATTTGTTTATTTGTGGCATTCTTCAAAAATTCATTATTTATTTGTTTCAGTGATCACTTTTAAAATTTGTTATTTATTTTTAATGTTACCTTTTTAAAAATTTTAGTTCCAAATTCTCATCCTAATCTAGCCCCTCCCTCCACCCATTGAGAAGGCAGCCAATATATCAGTTATACGTATGAGATCATGCACAACATATTTCCATATATATATATATATATATAATGTAATTTAATTTAAAAAACCAAACCTCCATTGATCCTAAAGTAGTCCTTTATTACATATAACCACATGAGAACCATCTCCCAACTCCAAGCATTTTCCCCAGCTGTGCCCCATGCCCGGCCTGCTCTCCCTCCTCATCTCTACCTTCTGGCTTCTTTCATGTCCCAGCTAACGTCCTACCTTCTGCCTTTCTCTGTCCTGAATCTTAGCACTTTCTCCCTGAGACTTTTCCCAATTCATTTTGTCTCCATCTTGTCTGAACATGGTGGTTTGCACGTTTTTTTTTTCCTTCTTCTTGCTGTTAGACTGTAAGCTTCTTGAGGGGAAGAACTGGTTGGTTTGTTTTTTTGCCTTTGTATCCTCAGAGCTTAGCAGAATGCTTGGTACACAGTAGGTGTTTAATAAATGCTCATTGACTGACTTTTGGTATGGTGGGGGAAAAGTCCTGATGGGAGTCAGAGGACCTGGGTTCAAGTCTTGCCTCTGATTGCTTACTACTTGTATGACCTTGGACAAGTCCCTTAACTTCCCAGGGCTGAAGATTCCCCATGGGGTCCCTTCCAACTCTTATGATCATAGGATCTTATGGTACATGTGACTCTCTATGGAAAACCAAATTAATAATAACAGTGTATGTCTATGTTGTGCTTTAAGGTCTGCCAAACACTTTACAAACTTGATCATATTTGATACTTAACATTGTAATGTAGGCATTGCTATCATCCCCATTTTATAGATTAAAAGAAGTAATAACTGAGGCAACCATGTCTGAAAATGTATGTCTCATTCTTCACCTTGAGTCCACATCACCTAGAGATAGCTGGGTGACTCAGTGGGTAGAGCACTGGACCTGGAGTCAGGAAGACCTAAGTTCAAATCTGGCCTCAGACACCTATTAGTTGTCTGACCATGCACAAGTCTCTGAAACCTCTGTCTGCCTCAGTTTCCTCATCTGTAAAATGGGGATAAGAAAGCACCCTCCTTCCAGGGTTGTTGTGAGGAAAAAATTATATAAAGTTTGTAAAGCACTTTATAAAGGTTAGCTATTATCACCTGTGTCAGGAGGTAGGGGAAGTGACTTTTCCAGGGTCACATAGCTGCTAAGTATCTAAGGCAGGATTTGAACCCAGGCCCAGTGCTTTATCCACCATGCTGTGCTGCCTCCTCAGGCTTCTTACTTTTCCCTTTCTGCTCTTTCCAAACCCGGCCCCGGCTCTTCTTCAGACCCTGGACTCCATGGCCTCTCGGAACCCTTCTGAGATCCTGTGTTCCTACTGGACTGTTTTATGATCAGTGTCAAGGGTTCTATGAGGTACAAGAAGAAAGGCATTACTGACTAGGGGCAATCAGGGAAATCTTCCTGGAGGGGGTAGTGTTTGGATTGGGCTTCAAAAGATCGGTAGAAATTTAACAGGGGGAGGAGGGTGAAAGAGGAGCATTGTGAGCATAGGCATGGTCAGTTGGGGTTGGGGGAGAGGGGAAAGGTGGTCAGGTCTGTGCTTTAGGAAGGTGACCAAATGGAGGATGGATTGGAGTGGGGAGAGACTTGAGGCAGACCCTCCCCCCAGCCCTGTCCCCTTGCCCCAGCAGTACAGGTGTGAGATGATGAGGGTCTGGACTAGAGGGGTAGCTGTGTCAGAGGAAAGAAGGGGCCATATTCAAGAGATTTTATGAAAGTAGACTTGACAGGCCTTGGCGCCGTATTGGGTATGTGGGGTGAGAGATAGAAGTCCAGGGTGACTCCTAGATTGGGAGCATGAGGAACTGGGAGGGTGGTGATGCCCTCTCCAGTAATAGGGAAAGGTTTGGGGGAAAGATAATGAGTTCTGCTTTGGACATGTTGAGTTTCAGATGTCTATTGGAAATCCAGTATATGATATCTGAAAGGCAGTTGGGAAAGTGAGACTGGAATTCAGGAGAGAGATTAGGGCTGGGTAAGTAGACTTGAGAATCATCAGCCAAGAGATGGTCCTTGAGTCCAACCTGGGAGGTACCTACCAGATGAGGGGGTCGTCGTAGGGAGGAATGTAGATCCAGCCTGGGTTGTTCTTGGCAAGATCTTTCGCCAATTTGACTGCCTCGTCCAGCGTCTGGGGATCATCAAGGGACACCGGTGAAGGAAGGCTCTTCTCTCCGAGATCCCACTAGCTGGATATTCTATATGGGGTCCCATCTGACTCCCTGACTTCATACGCTCCTCCACACTGCAGCCAAACGGATATTCCTAAAACGCAGTTATGACTTCCCATGCTCAAGAAACTCTAATGATTCTCTGGTACTTCTAGAATCAAATACAAATTAACTACCTTGCTCCAGCCCACCCCTTATACATCACACCGCCAACATGTATATGTCCACCTCCCAGGCACTTACCTCACCTACGACCTTGACCATGGCACCCTCAGCCTTGAGCTTCTGGATGGTGAGGGGAGGCGTAGTGTTAGGCACAACGATGGTGGCAGGGATGCCCAGCTTCCTGGCAGCGTAGGCCGCGGCCATGCCGGCATTGCCCGCTGTGGGTGGTTCATTGGGGGAAGAAGGTTTGCATCGTTTCAGACAGACCCCGGCGTGGTCTATGGTTATTCTAGGGGCCCAACCTCACCTTCCTTTTTCTCCTCTAACCTGAGACTCCTGGAAAGACTTGATGGGAAATTAGGGCTTAATTAATGTTGTGTCCAAGGTCCCATTGAACTGGTAAGGGATGGAGCCCAGCCAGGCCCAGATTTCCTGAGTCCTAGCTCTTATTTCAGCCCACGGCTCATCAGTCTTTCTCTAATCCTAGGAGGAGAAAGATTCCGAACTTGGGAGTCAGAATCTTTGGGTTGCAATCTGCTATGTACTGTGCTAGGAGTCATACCCTGGTATGTGATACTAGTTAAGTAAGAGATAGGTTAGTAAGTCATATGCTGAATGGAAGCATAGTTGATAAAGAGCTGGCCTGGGAGCTAGAGAGACCTGAGTTCAGATGTGACGCATCCTGCCAGTGAAACTATAAATTGTAGAGCAGGTCCTGACCTGTAGCGCTAGAGACCTTTTTTACCAATGAAATCATAGGTTCAGTCTCTATCTCTGCCCCTATGAGCAAGTCAGGTAAGCAATCAATCTATCAATCAATCAATCAATAAACATTTATTAAGCACCTACTATGTGCCAGACACTTTTCTGGGCCTCGGTTTCCTCATTTGCAAGATAAAGGAATTGAACTAGATGAGGATCCTCTGTGCCCCAGGGAGTATTCTCTTCCCCTCTTCTCTTGCCCATGAAATCCTGATATGTGGGGGCCTGTTCCATGGATAGGAACCTGGGAACCCTGCCCTAGTGGGAAACTTACCTGAGGAGCAGACAAAATGGTCACAGCCCCTCTCAGCCCACTGCGGAGACAAGGAGAGAGATAGGTGGGTTAGGGCAGGGGGAGGCATCAGGGAGCAGTGGAAAGAGCTAGATTTAGAGTCAGAGGAAGGCTCTGACATGCCCTGTTCTAAGGGCCCTTCCCAGCTCTGACATTCTCTGTTTCAAGGCCCCTCCCAGCTCTGACATTCCATGTTCTAAGACCCCTCCCACCCCTGAAATTCGATGTTCTAGGGGTCCTCCCAGCTCTGACATCCCGTGTTTCCATGCCCTCTCCTCCAGTTCCAAGGTCCCAGGGTTCTTGTGATTCCCCTTTTAGCACCTCCCTCTCTTAGCTGTGCAGTGACTTCATCTCACCCTGCTTATCCAGGGCTCTCCATGTAGCCAGAAAGTACCCTGAACTCTAAGTCCCAGCCCACCCTTCATTCCCCATCTCCCAGCCAAACTCCTCTTCCTTATTTCTTACTAATATTCCCAGGAGAGGATATGCTAAACTCATCCACACTAAACATGAATAATTACATTCATGTGATGCTTAATATCCTCACAACAATCCTATTAATTGGGTACTATTATCATCCCCATTTTACAGATGAGGAAATTGAGACTGACAGGTTATATGACCCTTGCATAGGGTCATTAATGTCTGAGGCAGGATCGGAACTCAGCTCTTCCTGATTTCAGGTCCAGCACACTATCCACTGTACCACCCAATGGCCTTCCCCAGGGGAGAGCTATGCTGTTTAACAGAGGAACTGGGAGATGGAAAGGTCTTGATTTAAAGGAATGACATTCCAGTGGTGGATCTTGGGGCACTGGAGAGTCAGTGGGAGAACAGTTTTGGGGTAGGGATTTTCCTGGCACCCATCAGATTATATCAGGCTGTCCCCTAGGGCTTTTATGCAAAGGATTGATGTTGGTGCTAGTCTGTCCTAGAGTAATTGGGGTATCTCCAAGCACATGGCCACACTGATGGGTCGTTTCTTTTGGACCCTTTGTGGACCTCCTTCTCCTTCCTCTGAGGACGCTTCCTTCATCTCCCTCCAAAGGGCCCTGGGCAATGCCTGCTGTTGCCATCGCTGGCACCTCCCCATGTGCTTGCCCCTTCCCTTCTCACCGTCTTGCACAGGTGTCCAATACCCCGGATCTTAAATGACCCTGAAGGCTGAGCGCTGTCCATCTTGAGGTAAACGGTGGTGCCTGCCACCTTGGACAGCGCCATGCTGTCCCTGATGGGGGTCTTCACATGCAGAGGCTGCTGAGACATGGTCACTGCAGTGGGAGAGAGAAAGGTGAGGGATGAGGCAGAAGAAACCTTTTTGACCTGGACAAACCAGTGGGATCAACCCCATTTTACAGATGAGGAAACTGAGGCAGACAGAGGTCAAGGGACTTGCCCTGGGTTACACAGCTACTAAGTGTCTCAGGCTGGATTTGAACCCAGATCTTCCTGACTCCAGGCCTTGTGCTCTATCCACTGGGTCACCTAGTTTTTGAAGGCTTGGATGGCCTTCAAGGTCCATTCTAGTTTTTAATCTAGGATTCTATGATCAATAATCAGAGATCCTGGGTTCATTTTCTGCTTCTTACTATCTATGTAGCAAATCACAATCTCTCTGGGCCTCAGGTTTCCACATTTCTAAAATCAACATCATAATAGCTCACGTTTATATAGTCCTTTAAAGTTGGCAAAGTTCATTAGGGAAATGGAACAGGAATAAGCATTTATTAAGCACCTACTATATACCAGCATTATGTTGAGCGCTTTACAAATATTAGCTCACTTCATCTTTACAGCAATCCAAAGTAGGCCAGATTTTACAGATGAGGACACTGAGGCTCAGGGGTTAAGTGACTTGATCAGATTAATACAGTTAGTAGAAGTTGGAGGCAGGATTTGAACTCAGTTCTTCCTAACTCAAGGTTCCATCCTCTATCCACTGTACTCTAAAGTCCCCTTCAGCTGTCATGCTATCTTTAAAATGCTGACTATGACTGTAAGACCTAACCATTAGAGGAGTCCTAGTTTTAGAGCTGGAAGGGACCCAGGCCATGGAGCCCGGTCCCACCCATTTTACAGAGGAAGAAACTGAGTCTGAGAGAGGGGAAGGAACTTGTGGGTTTTGTACAAGGGTTAGTCGCCTGAGATAACACAGCACGGTGAATGAAGGAGCGGGAACCAGGCTGCCCCCATAGAAATACAAGAGATCACCATCACCGTCATCTGTGCAAATAAATGTCAGACTGGCCTTTGGTCAGATTAGCTTAAGTTCATGTATGCTGGTCCAGTTTTCAACCTCCCCTCTGAGGGGAGAGAGGGGAAGACAGTGTTCAACCCGTCATTCCCCATCAGAGGCAGCTATCGGTGCGATAGTGCACAGGGGACTGGTTCTGGAGTCAGGCTGACCTGAGTTCAAATCTAACCTCAGACATGTACTAGCTGTTTGGCCCTGGGCAAGTCACTTGACTGCTGTCTGCCTCAGTTTCCCCATCTGTAAAATGGAGATAACAGCACCTACCTTTCTGGGTTGTTGTAAAGATCAAATGAGATAATATCTGTAAAAGTGCTTAGCACAGTGCCTGGCACATAGTAGGGGCTATAGTAATGCTTATTCCCTTTCTTTCCTACCTAATCCCCATCCATTTCTAGTACACTGGCTGGGGAAAGAGAGCTAGAAGTGACTGGGAAGGGTAGGGATTGTAGATTTAGTGCTGGAAGGGTCTAACTTCTTTTTACAGATGAGGAAACTGAGGCACTTAAGATTTATCCTACCTAATTAAATCCTAAAAGAGAAGATAAGTGAATTGCCTGGGGGTCACCCAGCTGATTGAGTGTCTGAGGTAGGATTTGAACCTGGGTCTTTCTGACTCCAAGTCTATTGCTTTAGCCACTACACCTTGCTATTTCTACAAGAGAAGGTGACTTCTGTCAGAATGAATTTGGATAGGGAAAAAAATACATCTTTATTATAATTGACCTCTAATTGAAATTCAGCATTTTCTTTCATCGTAAATGTGGGCCACAAACTTGATTTGGAGAAGAGGTCTTTAGGGGACCCAAACTGCAAAAGGGGTCTGTGACAGCAAAAAGATGAAAAGCCTCTACCCAAGGACTGTCCTTTGGAGGAATAGTCACTGATCTGCATTGATAGAGAGAATTTCTTCATTAGGAGTTTCCTACTCAATTAAATCCTAAATCCAGACAATCATAAGACTAAATCTAGAGACAATGAGTTGACATTCCTACACTACTCAATTTAAAAAAAAAAACAAGTGATTTTTTCCAGTTGCACATGAATCCACAGAACATTAAATATAAAAGACCAATCAGCAGAAGAGTTACTTGTCCTTAAGTTGTTTCCATCTAAACTCCATACCTCCAAAAAGGAGAAAAGAGTAATAATAAAAATAATAGAACTTGAGCCTAGAGGGCCAGCCTTGGAGGGAGGAAGACCCTGGGATCAAGACCTTCCTTTGACTCATGATGGCTGTGTGACCCTGGACAAGTCACTCAACCTCTCTGGGCAAGAGGCATCTCTGGAAAAAACTATGAATGACAAATAAGGCACACTGGTGGGAGGAGGGAGTTTCCACATTGGGTTAATGAGTCCAGACTCCCCACATCCCCTAAAATAAAAATACTTGCAGTAGTGTTCTCCAAGTGGTGTGTTAGGGAAAGTGTTTTATAAACCTTAGAGCACTGAAGAAATGAGTTGATTCCTGGGGGGAGCAGGGCTTGGGGTTTTGAGATCTTTGATGGTATTTCTCTGGAGACTTGAATCCCAAACTCAAACACTCCATTCATGAGGCTCTGAGCTTCTGTATTTGCCTGTGAGAGTCTGGAGAAGAGGCTTTTGCAATGGGGGCTTGGGCTATTGGGGCCAACATTCCCACTGGTCTGGGGTCTGGATTGGTGGAGGTCAGAGTTTGAATTATAGAATGTCTGAGCTGGAAGGGACCTCAGAAACCCTCAGGGATAACCTGTAGTTGTGATAGAATCCTCTCTGAAGCAATCTGACTCTTGCCTGCCCAGCATCGGCTAAAAGACCTTTGGGGCAGCCTGGACATTGCCTGCGGTGCCAGGTTCTCGGGATCTCATTGATCAAAGGGCCCATCTAGCTCCCTCTTGGAGGTGCATGGGGTTGAATGATTCAAAAGGACCAGGGTAAGGTAGGGACAAAAGTAGGGCAAGCAGTCCCCTTTCCTTCAATCGTATTCCTTAGGTCCATACCCAAACACCTCAGGGGAAATGAGGATCAGGTAGGGGCATTACCTGCTCTCTGATCTCTCCAAATGGTGCTACCAGTTTGCTTCTTTTTGGTTTGTTTTTAGCAACCCCTCCCAAACTGAGGACTGTCTTGGCAGATCGCTTGGCCAGATCCTTTCCCCATTACTGTGGCCACCAGGAGAGGAAGCAGAAGGGAGAGAGAGAGGCAGGCGAGAAGTCAAGATTCACTCACCAGGGAGAAGTTGGCCAAGGGTGTGGAGGGAGTATCCAGAGCCCTCCTGCAAGGGCCAGGGGAAAGCACTAACTCTCAATTCCCCAGTCTCCTCTCAAATTTATATAGCCTGGCTGTTCCCAGGGGAGCCAATGGAAGTTTAGAAAGGGCCCCACCTCCCCTCCTGCCCTGATGCCAGCTCCCTCCCCTCCCCTCCCCTCCCTTCCCCTCAGGAGACCTGTGGACAGCAGACAGTTACCCCAAGGGAAGCCCACAGAGGGTGGGAGGTAGGAGAGGACATGAGGACAGGCAGAGGACTTAGCATTGTGCTAAATTCTGGGGTTAAAAACAGAAAAGTCAGACAGCCCCCTCTTAAGGAGCTCACCTTCCTTATAATGGGGAAGACCATACATGTAAGTCAGATGGAAAGCTGCCATGGTCCTTAAGGTGCAGTGACAAACCTGCCTTCCTTAGTATCATTTCCAGTAATAAAACCCTATCCATTTCTGATACTGAACCATTTGATTGGACAGGATGGCCCCTGAGGGCCTTTCCTCCTTTCAGTACCCCTAAGCCAGAGGGGCTCTCATGAGGTCATCTGGTCTAGCCCCTTGCTTCTATCTACCCCAGACTGGGAGGTCAGCTTTACCTGAAGTGAATTCTAATCCATAGCTCCCAGCTTTGTCTGACCCTATCTCTGTGTCATAGGTTCTTGGATCTGGAAGGAACCTGAGAAGCTTACAAATGAGGAAACTGAGGCTCAGAGAGGTTGTAACTTATATAGAGTCACAGTTAGTTATCCTCAGAGGTGGGATTTGAACCCAAGGCTTATGATTTCGGAGGAAGGGCTTGTCCCTCTCTTTCTTTCTCTTTCTCCATTTTTCTGTCTGTCTACATCTTTGTCTCTGCGTTTTTCTCTCTGTCTACATCTTTGTCTCTGCCCCTCTGTCTTTCATCACACACACACACACACACACACACACACACACACACA